TTTGAGTCATAACCTCTAGTTTTTTTTCAGAATGACAAATACTCGGTTTTCCACATTTGCCTCCTTTATGATATGACATACCTTGTATTGCAGGAGAGTTGGATGGTTTACCGAAGAGTTCACCTAACAGTGCAGGGCCTGGTCCAGGACCTGGAACACCAAGGGAAGATAGCGGAGATATGAGTGCTGCACAGTTCTTACCACCTTTCCAAGACAATGTAAGTCTGATGTCTGAATATTCTGATATTCAAAGTTGTTGACAAAGAGCAACAAAGTACAGTGTTGTATAAAACACACATCAGCAAGATACAAGCTACAGACTCTGACTTGCATTGCATGTATATTTTATATTTTCTCAATACAGGGTGTATATGTATGTTCTTTTTCTTAACTCTTACGGGCAGTTCTTTAAACAAAATTGACTGTACGGGAGACATCATTTCGGATTTTTTGAGAAAAAAAAAACACCAAACTGCTGAATTGTGACGAGTGCCTCTGTAGTCAGCATTAAGTGACAAACTGGTTAAATTATTTCTCGGTTGTTTGGCTCTCTCACTCTCTTCGGGAATTGTGCTCTTTTATTTTGTTTACTCTCTAGCTTGTTTACTTCTACTTCTTTCTACTCCTTGATGTCCTTGATGGCCACAAATCCCAGTCCCCACCTTAGGTTATTTTCTTAACAATTTTTGTTAAATCTTCTTTGCCAGGACCACACTGAATCAGCTGCCATACTTAAGATTAAAGAAAGTATGCAAGAAGAGGCAAAACGCTTTGAGAAAGATGCGCCGTCAGATCATCCCGAGTATTTCATGCAATAACTCAGATTATTATTATATTTCGTCGTTGTTTATAAGGGCGTCCAAATTATATTCAGTGTTTTCCGTGACCCCTAAATCTTGTAAAAAAAATAACTGACTCGGCTACAAAATCATCTCCAACAAGTGAGGTAGCCGGTCATAATGAATCTTTCTGTACATTTTATAATTAAATTCTGTAAAATCAGAACCAACACAATTATTAAATATTGTCTTACCCGCTGATGATCCCCATTCATGGCTAAGCATCATGTCTCTGCACTGTTTATAATAAGTTAATTTTAATTTAAGTGACCTGCCTTTAAAATGTAGTTTTGGACCATAGGAAACACCTGAATTTAATATGGACGCTTTAATAAAGAGATACTTTGTAATGGAATCAATCTATATAGTATTCTTGTGTTCATTACATGTTATATTTTTATGTTCTTATTATGTTGCCTTATTTAAGTACAGTGCGCTAACATAGCATAAAGCCAGCCTTCTGGTTGATGGTGGATATCTTGCCCCCCTAACTTGTCAGGAAAAAGGAATCTTTTTTTTATTTAAATTTAAAATTTCCTTCAGTCTGCTAGAAGAGTGTAACTGTAAGTGTAAAAGCCAAAATTTTTTTGTAGAAAAGTAAATTATTTAAATAAGACTGGAAAATGAGGAAATGTGTCTGTTTCACTAAGTTTAAATAAATGAACTGCCGAATTATTATGTTTTTTTTAAAGAAATTCCAGTCAGATTGAGCTTTATGCTATGGTTTGCATGGGCCACATTTCCTTTGACGTAGTCATCAGTGTTTTTCATTAGGTTAAACAAATGTCAATACAATTTTATTTATTCTTGCTCTTTAAAGCCTGTTTGTAATATATTCTTTTTTTTTCCTCCCTTGCAAAATTAAATGCAACGTTACAGCATTATCATACTCCTTCTTAAACAAATTGATTAAAACCAGTTGTTCTTGACTGCTGTTTCTACAGAGGACTGTGCAATAGCCAAAAATGGTCATATTCTCAAATTGTCATGTTGGGTGTTTTTTTTAAGTAGCTTAAAGGGTTTTCCAGGGAAATTGACACTGTATATTACCGTCTAAAAACACCATATAACATATATTTTTCTCCACATAGCAACTGTTGTGTTCTCTATTTTCTGTGTGTTGCGGTATTATAATCCTCGGTTGTTCTTCATTTCCAGCTCTTGTGTTATAAAGCCCTTGCTGAATCCGGCTGCCATCTTGGTATTGAGCAGCCATCTTTAAATTGAGCATCCCTAAATCCGCTGCATTATTTAGTCATCTCGTGTTTGTTTTTCTGTATTAGCTGTGGCCATTAATTTTTGTTTTGGAGTCATGGCTTGATCTAAATTTTACTGACATCCCATGCTAACAAGAGTGAGTGACTATACCGCAGCACTACAGTAGCATACATCAGTGACTATGTAGTAAAAGCCAAATACGGGAATCTTGTCCTTGCTTTTCTCAGCTCATCAGATCTCCTGAGTTTGAAGACAGATTTTAAAAGCCATCTGAGGTTAGTTTGCGTTCAGTTTCTGTCTGCACTCTTCAGTCAATCATCTTTTACAAAAAAGAAGAAAAAAGAAAGAAAAAAATAACCTTATGAAGACTGCAAGTAGTAAATAATGGCTAGTTCATGGAACTGTTAACCGGTAAGATTAAGCATTGAGCCAGGGAATATTTAAATTAAAACTTGCTATCTCATTGGTTAACAGTGATCATGTGCTTTTGAATAGACTTTATTGGCTGCTGGTCATGTGATCTGAACAGACAGTGGTGATCATGTGATACATTTCTGATTGGCTATTTTCAATCATGTGAAGCTTGTGATGGTTTATTTAAAGCGGGAGAAGGAACCAACCGCCCTTAATTTGGCAAATTACAAAAGAACATGCCTGCTTATACTATAAACTGATTTGTCTGAGATGTAGCACAAACAAATCTGATCACAACGGTGTCATTTCAGAACTTCCCATGCATTTTTTAAAAGATTTTTTTTAAAGAGATCAGAATATGTATGTTGTATTTATACATGTAGCTGCGTGAATCATATTTGTATCCACCTTGTAAATTCCCCTATTTCAACAGGCTGAATTGTTTTTTTTCTTGGATTCAAAATTCCATATTAACCACAAATGGAGATGCCTTTACCAGTTGTGTAAATTTAGAACACTTTTGTATTTGATTTATAATGTCAAGTGTCACAATATTTTGTATCGGGATGAAAAAAAGAAAAAAAATTTACACGAGCCTGAAAGGAATAATCGTGTATCAAGACTAGAATACTGTATCTGCATTTGAACATGAATTAAAGCTTGAGAAAATAAATCCCAAAGAAACAAATCTGTACCGTTTTAACATATCAGAGCTCCATTATATGAATAGGATCCTGAACTGCTTTTTTTGAAAAAAAAATATTTAAAAAAAAAAAAAAGTCCAGTTAATTTTACTTAAGTTTTAGATGGGGGGGAAAAAAACTAAGAAACCTGTATGTACTATATGTATGTGAAATTATTTTGTTGTTTGTTGCTCTAGGATGAATTTGTGTTGTACTTTCATCCCTATTTTACTGATGAAAGAGATACATTAACGTGATTATTGGTGTATCTGAGAATCTTGTCTGCCTATCACATACACCGATATGACGATGTCTGTTTTATGTAGAACAGGTAGATGCAATGTCTTTTTATGCTTAGTTCACCACCACTCTATTTTGGATTTTTTTTCATACTTTTTGCTGCTGCTTTATGAACCATGACAGGGTCCCCTCCTTTTTGCTTTCGTCAAATAAAACACATCTCAGTGTTGATGCCACCTACAGAAAGATGCTCTGTATATTGCTCTATTAAATTTAAATAGTATTTAGTTAAAATCGTGACAAAAATCCAAATGGGTGGCATTAACTCTTGTTTTTTTTCATACCTGCACTGAAGTTTGCAATACAAACATAGCGCCCTCTGTGTCCTAAGCTACATAAACACAGGGAAACATAGAGGGCGTTATAATTGCCCAGAAACCTGTAGACACTATTTTCCTATTACAAGTCGTTTGTGGTGTCGCATATGTATATGAAACTGTAGTTTTGAGAAGATTTGAATCTCATTGTATTTTGTGTATGGCAATATTGTATTGAAAAAAAAATGACACCCAAATTGAGGAAGGCAACCTGAGGTCCCATTTTATTTTTTCTTGGAGTGGTACTTAGGCATTTAGTCTTGTACCTTAATCTTTGTTGCAGTATTATGTAGTTAATCTTCTCATAGCTGAGGAGTCTTATACAATATTTTATTTGTATGTCCTGTATTGTACAAGGAACCCCTCAACTCCCCCTTCTTTTAGATGCAGAATATTCCATTAAAATAAAAGCAAAACTTTGAAAATACATATTGTATGGAGTTTTCTTTTGTATGAATTGCAAGGCAGAAGTCTTGCAAGCTTCACAATAATAAGGTAGTCTAGTTGTGTTTTGCCACCTTAGATATCCTGTGGATGAATAAAGTTCATATGTAGGATTGGTTGTGAATGCAGAGTATTCAAATATCAGAGGGGACTAATTACAAGTATTTTAGTGCTTGTTAAAAAGTAGTTTGCATATTCTACATGCCATTGACATGCAGGGACGAAATCAAAATCTTCACTGTACCGTTGTCAATTTATATTCCTAATACAATTGTAGCGAGGGATTGACCACCACAGCTCACACCATGTTTTCATGCCATACTAATAGGGAACAGTGGACAAGCCATGCAGAGTCCCAGTTATCAAATTTAAGATATATAGCTGGAATATGACCTTTTAGCTCCGCTGTCGACTAGAGCTTATCATATGAGTGATTGTCCGCTGTCGTCAATGTTTTACTTTTTCGACTTCTTCTTGAAAACTACAAGTCTGAATGGTTTGATACTTGGTGTATATGTACCTTGGGTAGATCTCTTAGGTTTGTTCATTTCATGATATCTTCAATTCTGTAATTTTTGGTAAAAAACCGCAAGTGCAATTGCTTTGATATTACATATATAGGTACTACATCTGGACCTCTCTCAGATTTGTTCATTTCATAATGATATATTCAATTCTGTAATTTTTGGTAAAAAACCGCAAGTGCAATTGCTTTGATATTACATATATAGGTACTACATCTGGACCTCTCTCAGATTTGTTCATTTCATAATGATATATTCAATTCTCTAATTTTTGGTAAAAGGTGATATTTTTGACTTCTTGTTGAAAACCGCAAGTCCAATTGCTTTGATATTACATATATAGGTACTACATGTGGACCTCTCAGATTTGTTCATTTTCTAATGATATCTTCTGTTCTTTAATTGCCATGTGCATTGCTAACAGCGGAGATATCTCAGCCGACAGGCTGCTTGTTAACATTTGTATCTGATCGTCAAACAAGTACTTGTCCATATTGAGAGATATTGCTCTGGAACAGCATTCAAAATCAGCCATTTTTAATACATGTGTATGTATACATCATGCTATAATCAGTCAAAGCATTTAAGAGATGGCCGCCAGTCAGGCATTTTTAATCCAATCTGAAAAATCAAAGTTAAACAGTAAACGGCCGAGAAATGCTAGATTTTTAGGATTTTAGCACAAAAATGGCCGGCCATCTTGAATCAGATCGTGAAGTTTGATTGTGATTGGTCCGGATGCACACATGAAGGTCGAAATACAAGTCCCCATTTTCGGACTGAATCCAAACAGGGACTAATTAAAAAAAAAAAGTCATTGGGGAAATAACATCTGCTAAATGAGGAAGGGAAGACAATTTTTTTTTTCTGGTGGAGGGTAGCTTATGTACAGCTTTTAATTTCCCCCCTTTCCTTTATATTAATTAGCATACTTCAAAAATTGTCCCAGAGAGTTGACTATTTCAATTTACTGCTCGTTGGCTGCACCTTTTGACATTTTCACAGGAACCGTTCCAGACTTTTTTTTTTATTTGGACTATAAATATAACATTTCTCTATATAACACTGGTTGAGAGTAATCTTTTAATGTTGACATCCAGTTTCTCCATGGGTGAATAAAACTTACTAAATCTAAATACTTCTGTGAGCAAAGAGTGTACCATCTTAGTTAGATCACACACATACTTGGTAAGAAATCATGGTCAGTAAGAATGAGACACCCAAGGAGTTATGTTAGTGTTGAAGGTACCATGGCACCAACCAATAGTACAAACGAGAGAATTCATAGTTTATTCACCAACATAAATACACCACAGAAGGTAAGCTATAAGCCGGCATTGATTGCAGTCAAACTATTACATAATATGTGTACATTCAACTCAGGTCCAGGTGATTCATTCATTAGATCTTATTAAAAGCAGCAACATCCACACTTTGAACCTAAAATAAAATAAAAGATGTGCTCAGTAACACCAATCATTTGAGTTGCCAGTGGAAAAATGGTACATGTAATTATCACAGTATCATATAACGAATGGGGTTTTATAGCTGACAATTTATTGTCAATGGTATAGTCACCATTCAGTTTTTAGAAACTGTCAATTATGCACAAATTTAACCCAAAACTAATTGGTTATGCATAATGTCACTGATCTATTGAAATGTGACAATTCAGATGAAGGTAATTGCTATAAATGTCATCCACAGTCTATTGAAATGTGAGGATTAATTCAGTGGAAGGGACAGACAGAGATAACTGCTATAAATGTGAGGATTAATTCAGTGGAAGGGACAGACAGAGGTAACTGCTATAAATGTGACGATTAATTCAGTGGAAGGGACAGACAGAGTTAACTGCTATAAATGTGACGATTAATTCAGTGGAAGGGACAGACAGAGTTAACTGCTATAAATGTGACGATTAATTCAGTGGAAGGGACAGACAGAGGTAACTGCTATAAATGTGACGATTAATTCAGTGGAAGGGACAGACAGAGGTAACTGCTATAAATGTGACGATTAATTCAGTGGAAGGGACAGACAGAGTTAACTGCTATAAATGTGACGATTAATTCAGTGGAAGGGACAGACAGAGTTAACTGCTATAAATGTGAGGGTTAATTCAGTGGAAGGGACAGACAGAGGTAACTGCTATAAATGTCATTGTTTGTTTTGCACACTGGAGACAAAATGTCTTCATAAAATTGGTGTCAATTAACAAGTGCATCCTGGGTAACAGCCTACTTACAAAGTCTTCAAAGCCAGTGATGCTTTCTTCCAAAAAGTCTGTTCCGATTTTATCATCTTCGATGACACAAGAAATCTGCAATTTCTTGATACCATACCCAACTGGAACCAATTTGGCTGAAAAAGCACGTCAAAGATATATCGCTAAACATAATTTGTTTTAGAAAAACATTGGCATTAAATAATCCCCATTGAAGTCTTATGTCAACCATTATGACCAGAAAAACAAAAAGATGTGCATCAGGGAACCACAATGACCATGCATATACAAAGTTTGAACAAAATCAATTGACATACAACCAAGATCCGTTCCTGGAATGGCAAAAATGCATGATTTTGACATTAAAATGGGCATATATATGCATACTGGTGACATAGTGTATGGAGTATATTTCAAGTTTGAATATGACGAGTCAAAGCATGTCAGAGATATGGCCTTAGAACTATAGTCATTAATTTAATGGCCACCAGACCATTTTAAATATGATCTGAAAAAAAACAAAATTACATGCTATAACTTGTATATGTACCAAAGTTTGAATTAAATTGATTGACAAACAACCAAGACACTGGACAAATGCTTAGTTTTGATGAATTTTCAGTGCAAAAAAGTCACCATTCGGCCATCTTAAATAGGACTATGAAATAAATAGGTAAAACAAAGATTTATAATGACCAAGTTATGTATCAAGTCTGAATGATATCCATCAATACACAATCAAGAATCTGGTTCCAGAATGACAAATTTTTATATTTGTGCATGAAACAAATATCCAAACACACCAAAGTTGATCATAATGTAATAGTATTATTGCCTTGCCTGTAGTGTAGTGTAGTGTAGTGTAGTGTAGTGTAGTGTAAACGAAGGGGAAAATTTTGGCGTCTTTGTTGTTGTTGGCATGACTTGTGGGTGCGATAACTCAAGTAATTTTTACACGATCAGTTTCAAATTTATATATGTTATAAACAAGCATACAAAGATGGCCAAGTTCGATGTTTGTGCATTTTGCTTGGATAATTAATGAGAGACTGCTACTGATTGGTTATCTCTTGTGGGCGTGATAACTCGAGTAATTTTTACACGATCAGTTTCAAATTTATATATATTATAAACAAGCATACAAAGATGGCCAAGTTCAATGTTTGTGCATTTTGCTTGGATAATTAATGAGAGACTGCTACTGATTGGTTATCTCTTGTGGGCGTGATAACTCGAGTAATTTTTACACGATCAGTTTCAAATTTATATATATTATAAACAAAGATATTAGGATAACCAGGTTCAATATTTGTGCACTTTACATGCATAATAATGAGATGCGGAGTAATTATTTTTTCAGGTAAAACGTAATTGTGAAAAGCTTTTTTTAGTTAAAGAAAAGTAATTTTAATGTTTTGAAATTCAATCCTACTAATCTGTATCAGGATTTAACGTGAAAATCCATGGTGTAGTAGTTGGTTTGAAATTAATTGGAATTTTCCATTGTTGTGTGATTACATATACATTTCATCTTATTAGAACCAGTGCCATCTTAAGTTCATTATAGAATCAAAGAAAGCTTAGAAAGAACTCCTGTGTGCTGAGAGTAAAGGAGTCACATTAAAAATTAATTCAAAATTACTTGAACTTGAGATATTGATGGAAAAGCTAATGCAAATAAAGTAACTAATAGGAACAGATTCAAGTGTAAAACCACAGTCCCTCTATCTCCCTGATAGAGGGACTGTGGTAAAACTAATAAGGTCTGCACAATGTAAAAGTAATAAGATCTGCGTAATATAATATCTATGTACCAAGTTTCATTGAAATGTGATTAGAACCAAAAAATTATTAACCATTATGCTAATTAGAGAATTAGTATGAACAGATTTTAACCCAAAATTAATCAGGCTGTCTATTGTCCTAGAGCATTTATGTACCACATTTTATTCAAATGTGATGATCAGTACTTGAGATACCAGTATTAATTATGTTAATTAGGTGATTAAGGAAGTGAGACCATTATTTGTGTTGAAAATTACGATTTTCACATTTATTTATTAATTGATGAAATGCACTATAAGCTTTCATCTGATAGTCAACGTAACCTATTAATGTCATGTAAGTTGGTTAAAATGTTGATTTTTTGAAGGGAAGCAAGGCAGCTTCAATAGTGTTTTCCAAAATCAACAACTCAGGTTTAATCTGTGTGCCTATAAATTTCAAAGATTAACTCAAGACAAAGCAATGTTAGGATGTGTTATCAGTAGCTATCTGACACACAATTAGTGTTTCCAAACATTTGAGTGGTTTGTCTCCGCCCCTGTTTATTTCACAGATTAGTCATTTGCATACGAATGTGTCAGACACAAGGTCACACAGCCACTGAAAAAAATCATTGATTTTGGTGTTTTCATATGCCAAATTTATCCAATTATAGCTATCCCATTCCTTTTATTTTTTTGGTTTCCAATAGCCTTACACATTTGGATGCCCCTACACATGTTAAAACAGACCTTGATGGGAAAACAAATCGCTTGTGCAGATAAACAAGCTTGAAAATCTTTGCTGTGACTTCGACGTTTTCTAGGAGTTTATGTTTGTCAAAATACAAGGTCTTTAACAAAAAATAACGTATACTTATTGTCGTCGGATTAACACCAAATTTTCACAGCTTTAAGGGGACATTTGCTACGTTCACACGACAGCATTTTATCGGAGCCCAAAGGCTCGAGCCGGCTCGAGCCAGCAAAAATGGCCGTATGAACGCGTTCGGCTCGAGCCAAGTTCGGCTCCACTAAACCCTCGGGGTTGAACTCCGATAGGGTTGAGTCCCGGCATGGCTCCGAGCGTGTAAACGCATCGGGGCCCAACTATCGGAGCCGAAATCACGTCCTCAATAGTCTTCTTCGAGTAACCTCTCATTTCAATTATGGCGGAGACAACATCTTTCATAATTTCACGCAATTTCCCGCTTGAATAAGAGATAGGCGTCCTAGTGCATAGTAACGAATCATTGTGATAGGTTGATAGCTCAATGGGAAACAAAAAATGGCGTACGAAATTATGCGACAAAAACTTGAAAGAACGACTGAACAGAAACTTTTTAAAGACACTAAAGATAAAAATCGTAGAAGCGATCGCGGTACGGTGACGTGTTCCTGGTAGGTTTAAATTCTTCCATAGTCCGTCTATGATAGATAGAGAGAATCTGTGATTCTTCCTAGGAGTTTTAATAGATACAAAATGGTAATTTTGCATGACAATAACTTGAGCGAATAGGCTGTATTAAACGTATTTTAGCTGCCGTGTTTCCTGTTTATTCGAGATACTAGTACCAAATTTAAAATACCAGTCATTGTCTTTTCTACCTCCATGGTCAGGCTCCTTTTTCTCCTAGCTGAACAGCATCATGCCATGTAAAGAAAAAAACACAAGCACGACACTAAAATCGTTTTATTCAAGGGCACTGTTCTGCTCGGCTCTGATCGAACTGAATCTAACTCTGGCAGATCTCGGCTCTCGTTCGGCTCCCGACCGTATGAATGCATTGTAGATAATCTCCTGTTAATCTGTG